CCATCCATGTGTATAGGGGATTTATTAAATGAAAATTTAACAATTAACAAATATTTATCACCTCTTCCCTGTCATTACCTTGCATGGAGGGAAGGCATGCTGATCTCTGGTGATACAGTTTGCTGGGAATATGGTCGGTGCCTTCACTGGGTGCAGACCATCAGCAACTGTCTCCTGAGCTCAGGCACTTACAGTATCAGAGCTTTCCTGTGGTAATCCGCGGCAACGTTCTGATTGGCCTGAACTCGGAAGACAGCTACATTTATCATGTGTGTGTCAGACGTGATTGTGTGATGTGTTCTCTGTGTGCCATATTTGTAATGGGTGTATTGACTGTGTCTGATATGTGTGTGTATTGACCATGTGTGATTTTTGTTCACTATAGCAGTAGATAGGGGGAGCAGAGGCACTGGGGTAGATGTGGGAGCAATGCACTATAGCAGTAGATAAGGGGAGCAGTGTCACTAGGGTAGACAGGGAACAATGGCAATATAGGGGGAGCATGGGCACAATAGGGATGGATAAGGAGCATGGGCACTATAGGGGTAGATGGAGGGATCAGGTACACTATAGGGGTAAATGGGGAAGCACTATAGGGGTAGATGGGGAGCAGGGGTGCTATAGTGGTAGATCGAGGAGCAGGGGCACTATAGAGGTAGATAGGGGGAACTATAGAGATAGATGGGGAACATGGGTACTATAGGAGTAGAGGGGGCACTATAGGAGTAGAGGGGGCACTATAGGGGTAGAGGGGGGCACTATAGGGATAGATGGGGAACAGGTGTACTATAGGGGGAGCAGGGGCACTATAGGGGTAGAGGGGGAACAGGGGTACTATAGTGGGAGCAGGGGCACTGTAGGGATAGATGGGAACAGGGGTACTATAGGTGTAGATGGGGGCACTATAGGGATAGATGGGGAACAGGGGTACTATAGTGGGAGCAGGGGCACTGTAGGGATAGATGGGAACAGGGGTACTATAAGGGGAGCAGGGGCACTATAGGTGTAGATGGGGGCACTATAGGGATAGATGGGGAACAGGGGTACTATAAGGGGAGCAGGGGCACTATAGGGGTAGAGGGGGCACTATAGGTATATATGGGGAACAGGGGTACTATAGGGGTAGAGGGGGCACTATAGGGAACAGGGGTACTATAGGGGTAGAGGGGGGTCACTTTAGTGGTAGAGGGGGAACAGGGTTACTATAGGGGTAGAGGGGGGCCCTATAGGGATAGGGGGCACTATAGGGATAGATGGGGAACAGGGTTACTATAAGAGTAGAGGGGGCACTATAGGGATAGATGGGGAACAGGGTTACTATAGGGGTAAAGGGTGCACTATAGGGGAAGAGGGGGGCACTATAGGGATAGATGGGGAACAGGGTTACTATAGGGGTAGAGGGTGCACTATAGGGGAAGAGGGGGGCACTATAGGGATAGATGGGGAACAGGGTTACTATAGGGGTAGAGGCACTAGGGGAAGAGGGGGCACTATAGGGATGGAGTGGGGAACAGGGTTGCTATGAGGGGGGTAGGGGGGGGGCACTATGAGATAGATGGGGAACAGGATTACTATGGGAAAGAGATGGAGTAAGGAGCAAGTTACTATAGGGAAGGGGGCACTATAGGGATAGATGGGGAACAGGGGTACTAGAGGGAAGAGAGAGGGCACTTATAGGGATAGATGGGGAACAGGGGTTACTATAGGGGTAGAGAGGCACTATAGGATAGATGGGAACAGGGTTACTATAGGGGTAGAGGGGGGCACTATAGAGATAGATGGGGAACAGGATTACTATAGGGGAAGAGGGGAGCACTATAGAGATAGATGGGGAACAGGATTACTATAGGGGAAGAGGGGGGCACTATAGGGATAGATGGGGAACAGGGTTACTATAGGGGTAGAGGGGGGCACTATAGGGATAGATGGGGAACAGGGTTACTATAGGGGGAGAGGGGGGCACTATAGGGATAGATGGGGAACAGGGTTACTATAGGGGAAGAGGGGGGCACTATAGGGATAGATGGGGAACAGGATTACTATAGGGGAAGAGGGGGGCACTATAGGGATAGATGGGGAACAGGGTTACTATAGGGGTAGAGGGGGGCACTATAGGGATAGATGGGGAACAGGGGTACTATAGGGGAAGAGGGGGGCACTATAGGGGAAGAGGGGGGCACTATAGGGATAGATGGGGAACAGGGGTACTATAGGGGGAGCAGGGGCACTATGGTCTCACTTACCAGGCAGCAGATTCAGGCCTCGGTTAGCTCCGCCCCCACCGACCACTTGGCTCCGCCCCCATCGGCTGCTTGGCTCCGCCTCCTACAGTCTCTTTCGCTGCTAAGCCCTGGTAGAGGGCAGGGGGTGTGCAAGCTGTCAGCCATAGGGCGCCCCCTGCTGCCATGGCGCCCTGTGCGGCCGCACAGCTCGCACACCCCTAAGGCCGGCCCTGTACACACTCTGATATCATGGACATACTTGAATGAATTAAAAAAAAACTAAACCACCCACAATCATTTAAAGGGTCACTATAGTCCCCAGAACTACTACAGCTTAAAGGATCACTATAGTGCCGGGAAAACATACTCGTTTTCCTGGCACTATAGTGCCCTGAGGGTGCCCCCACCCTCAGGGTCCCCCTCCCGCCGGACTCTGGGGAGAGGAAGGGGTTAAACTTACCTCTTTCTCCAGCACCGGGCGCAGAGCTCTCCTCCTCCTCTCCTCCCTCTTCTCCTCCTCTTCGGCTGAATGCACATGCGCGGCAGGAGCTGCGTGCGCATTCAGCCAGTCTCATAGGAAAGCATTCATAATGCTTTCCTATGGACGCTGGCGTCTTCTCACTGTGATTTTCACAGTGAGAATCACGCAAACGCCTCTAGCGGCTGTCAATGAGACAGCCACTATAGGCTGGATTAACCCTATTAAAAACATAGCAGTTTCTCTGAAACTGCTATGTTTATAAAAAAAAAGGGTTAACCCAGCTGGACCTTGCATCCAGACCACTTCATTAAAGGACCAGTATAGTGCCAGGAAAACATACTCGTTTTCCTGGCACTATAGTGCCCTGAGGGTGCCCCCACCCTCAGGGTCCCCCTCCCGCCCGGCTCTGGAAGGGGGAAAGGGGTTAAAACTTACCTTTTTCCAGCGCTGGGCGGAGAGCTCTCCTCCTCCGATCCTCCTCTTCTCCTCCCATGCGGCTGAATGCGCACGCGCGGCAAGAGCTGCGCGCGCATTCAGCTGGTCACATAGGAAAGCATTATCAATGCTTTCCTATGGACGCTGGCGTGCTCTCACTGTGAAAATCACAGTGAGAAGCACGCAAGCGCCTCTAGCGGCTGTCAATGAGACAGCCACTAGAGGAAATAGGGGAAGGCTTAACCCATTCATAAACATGGCAGTTTCTCTGAAACTGCTATGTTTATGAAAAAATGGGTTAACCCTAGCTGGACCTGGCACCCAGACCACTTCATTAAGCTGAAGTGGTCTGGGTGCCTAGAGTGGTCCTTTAAGCTGAAGTGGTCTGGGTGCCTATAGTGGTCCTTTAATGTAATTGTTCTGGTATCTACTGCCTGTCCCTTCAGGCTTTTTAATGTAAACACTGCTCAGTGTTTATGTTGCTGCTTAGGAATAAATCTAGTGGCAGTAACTCAGAGGGCAACTAGAGGTGCTTCCTGGGTCAGTGCTGGACAATGTGCAGCACTGACATTCAGGGTCTCCACCCTCTGCCTGGAGACAGTGAACTATCCTCATAGAGATACATTAATTCAATTTTGTAGTTCATGTGCAATAGCCTTCCAATGCATTTGTATTTAAATGTATTTAAATATACTCTGAATCCACATATGGTGCAGCGCTACGGAATGTGATGGCGCTATATAAATAATAAAATAATAATAATATGGTGATACTACACACACAGACATATATATGTTCACATATATATTCACTCAAATCAAACTCACTTAAATCAAATACACGGTACATCTACACCACCATGTATATTGGTCTGCAGGGGGCCGAGGTCCTAATTTTGTCAGGGGGCCCAGGCCACTGTCAGTCTGTTACTGCCCCTGGCACCCATCCATTGGTGGTGGGTAGGGGCCCTAATTCTATAAATATAGGTATACAATGTAACAAGACATTGAAGTATCCCATTCGATTAGGAGAGATACAATTAGAGGGAAAAAAACACTATACGATCAGACCAGGGGTCGTCAACCTGGCTTCTACGGTACAAGCAGAATGCCCCCTCCATCCAGAGAGATGAACACTCTATTCCAGCGGTTCCCAAAGTGTGGGTCGCAACCCACTGGTGGATCGCAGGGCAATTCCCAGTGGGTCGCGCTGATCCACACATCCAGGGCCGCCGGGGAGTCAGGCAAGCAGACTGATTAGTCGGGCTCTCGGTCCGTGACCGCGGGCCCGACACCAGGAGGGAGCCCGGCGGCTTGCCCTGTATGCCGCCGGGCTCCCTCCAATCAGTCTGCTCAGCACCTCCGGTCTGCAGCTCCGCCGGGTGCAGAGCTGCAGACTGTGTGATAGAAGTCTGGCAACACTCTGGGAGCTCGTGAGACTTATTACACGGTCTGCAGCTCTGCACCCGGCGCAGCTGCAGACCGGAGAGTTATCCCACTGGACCACTATTGAATTTATGAAAGGTAGGACACTGCCTCCAGACAT